CCTCTCCAGCATCCGTTGTCTCCAGATTTTTTAATGATCACCATTCTAACTGGCATAAAATGGTATCTCAATGTGGTTTTGATTTGCATTTCTCTAATAACCAGTGATGATGAGCATTTTTTCATATGTTTGTTAGCCTCATATATGTCTTCTTTTGAAAAGTGTCTGTTCCTACCCTTCACCCACTTTTGATTTTTTTTTTTTCTTGTACATCTGTTTTAGTTCTTTGTAGATTCTGGATATTAGCCCTTTGTCAGATGGGTAGACTGCAAAAATTTTTTCCTATTCTGTTGGTTGTCTTGGCTATGTGGGCTCTCTTGTGATTCCATATAAAGTTTAAAGTGTTTTTTTCCAGTTCTGTCAAGAAGGTCATTGGTAGATTGATAGAGATGGTGTTGAATCTGCATATTGCTTTGGGCAATATGGCAATTTTCATGATATTAATTCTTCCTAACCATGAGAATGGAATGTTTTTCCATCTGTTTGTGTCCTCTCTTATTTCATTGAGCAGTGGTTTGTAGTTCTCCTTAAAGAAGTCCTTTACATTCTTTGTTAGTTGTATTCCTAGGTCTTTTATTCTCTTTGTAGCAATTGTGAATGGGAGTTCACTCTTGATTTGGCTCTCTGTTTGCCTGTTACTGGTGTATAGGAATGCTTGTGATTTTTGCATACTGATTTTGTATCTTGAGACTTTGCTGCAGTTGCTTATCAGTTTGAGAAGATTTGGGGCTGAGACAATGGGGTCTTCTAGATATACAATCATGTCATCTGCAAATAGAGACAGTTTGACTTCCTCCTTTCCTAATTGAATACCCTTTATTTCTTTTTCTTGGCTGATTGCTCTGGCTAGAACTTCCAATAATATATTGAATAGGAGTGGTGAGAGAGGGCATCCTTGTCTAGTGCCTGATTTCAAAGGGAATTCTTCCAGCTTTTGCCCATTCAGTATGATATTGGCTGTAGGTTTGTCATATATAGCTTTTATCATTTTATGATACATTCCATTGATACCTAGTTTATTGAGAGTTTTCTTAATGGCTTCTGCCTTGAGAAATTTAAAATACTTGTTAAGTCTAGCGTGGACTTTTCTCCTCCAGTTGTAGGCACATATTAACCCACAATATATTGCTTTGGTTGATTTAATGTTCAAAAATATATATTATAAGCTATTTTTTCAGTTTATTTGATTAGGTACTTCTTTTTTAATTGGAGCTAGTTGGACTAGGATATAGCATTTACTCAGGCAAGCTCCCTAAGTGCGGGCCTACCTTGCATTATTGCACTTTGTTTCATTGGGCTTCGTGGATATGACATTTTTTACAAATTAAAGTTTTGTGACAATCTTGCTTTGAACAAGTTTGTTGGTGCCAGTTTCTCCACCAGCATGAGCTCACTTTGTGTCTCTGTGTCATATTTTGGTAATTCTCACAACATTTTAAACTTTTAAAATATATCTGTTATGGTGACCTACAATCAGTGATCTTTAATGTTAATAATTGTTTTGAGACACTACCCACTGTAACTATAGGGGACAAAAAACTTACTAAAAGTTATTTGTGTTCTTACTGCTCTATAGATTGGCCTTTCCCCTACCTCACTCTCCCCACTCCTTGGGCCTACATATTCCCTAGGACAACAATATCGAAGTCAGGCCAGTTAACGACTCTACAATGGCCTCTAAGTGTTTAAGTGAAAGGAAAAGTCTCATGCCACTCACTTTAAATCAAAAGTAAAAATGATGAAGCTTAGTGAATAGGGCATGTCAAAACTGACAGCTTTTTCCCTTTATATTCACAAGCTTGGCCTCTTTTGCCAAACAGCCAAGTTGTGAATATAAAGGAAAAGTTCTTGAAGAAAACTAAAAGTGCTACTCCAGTGAACACACAAATGATAACAAAGTGAACAGCCTTATTGCTAATATGGAGAAAGTCTGAGTGGTCTGTATAGAAGATCAAACCAACCTCAACATTTCATTAAGCCAAAGCCTAATCCAGAGAAAGCACCTCCAATTCTGTAAAGACTGAGAGTTGAAGAAGCTGCAGGAGAATTAGAACCTAGCAGGGATGAGTTTATGATATTTTACAGAAGAAGCCATCTCAATAACTGAAAAGTACACTGTGACAGCAAGTGCTATGTAGAAGCTGAAGCAGGTTACCTAGAAGATCTAGATAAAATAATAGATGAAAGTGGTTACATGTAACAACAGATTTTAAATGGTGAGGAAACATCCTTGTATTGGAAGAAGATGCCATTTAGGACTTTCATGGATACAGAGGGGAAGTCAATGCCTGGCTTCAAAGCTTCAAAAGTCAGGCTTAGTCTCTTGTAAAGGGCAACTGCAGCTGGTGACTTGAAGTTGAGGCCAATGGTCCTTTAACATTCCAAAAATCCTAAGGTCCTTATGAATTATACTAAATTGGCTGGACATGGTGGCTCATGCCTGTAATCCCAGCACTTAAGGAGGCTCAGGCAGGTGAATCACAATGTCAGGCGTTTAAGACCAGCCTGGCCAATATGGTGAAAACTTGTCTCTATGAAAAACACAAAAATTAAATGGATGTGGTGGCACATGCCTGTAATCTCAGCTACTTGGGTGGCTGAGGCAGGAGAATTATTTGAACCTGGGAGTTGGAGGTTGTATTGAGCACCACTGCACTCCAGCCTGGGCAACAGAGTAAGACTCCCTGTTGCAGGTAGGGGTAGGAGAGAAGAATTATACTGAATCTACTCTTTGTGTTCTAGAAATAAAACATAGCCTACATGACAGTATATTCATTTACAGCACGGTTTAATGAATATTTTAAGCTCATTGTTGAGAACTGTTCAGGAAAAAATTCTTTCAAAATATTACTGATCATTAACAATGCACCTAGTTATCCAAGACCTCTGAAGGGGATGTTCAAGGAGAGTAAATATAGTGTAAGCATAACTTTTATATGCACTGGGGAAAAATAAATTGTATGACACACATTATTACAATATTCACTCTGTTTCAGTGGTCTGGAACCAAACCTACCATATGTCTGAGGTGTGACTGTATAGAAAATAAAATGTGAGCCACAAATATTGAATGCTACAAATATTTAGAAGTCTCATTATTTATTTGTGAGAACATTAGATTTGAGGATAGATTAACATTATTTTATTAATAGTGAACTTGCAAATTCTTTTCCCTCACCAAGAGTTATTGGCCCAAATACAAACACATGTGCTCTGTACTTAGAGCCTATATGAGTTGTATTACTGAGGGATAAAGTTTTACATGTATATCACTATTCACAGGCACTTACTCGGGTTTATTCATCACTGGCTACATATACAGACCCACTAAATTGCAAAGGGCATTAGATACATTGGGAAGAGGACAACAATATCATTGCCCTCAAGCATCCTGAGGCTTAGTTGAGACTACAAGAGTAAGTAATTAGCAAACAGTGTAAGTATATAATCAATACTTGTTTTGAGTTCTGGCAATAAATGCTATGGTGTTTTCTGAGTGGGTGGAAGAGTTAAGGAAGGCTTTCTTGGCATTGGAAGATATTGAAGGAGGCATGAGACTTGGACAAGTAACAAGCAAAGCAAAGGAAGGACACCCAAGGGCAGGAAGGCTTTCTTCTCACCATTATTCTCACACCTTTTGAAAGAAATGTCTCATTACAGAAAACTTATGAAAAGTCTGAATCATTTCCCCAATTTACTTCCTAGTCTGTTTTCCAGAATATAAAGAAACAGGATTAGACTGATATACAGTTCACCTGACTTGCTCAGTTCAAGTCATCACAATTGCAAGGTCCCTTCAATTACCACCTCACTCAAAATGCCAAAGAGAGGCAGCTGCAGGAACACTGAACGTTTGGCTTTCATCTCACTCTCTTCTGAAATTGTGTCTTTTTTTCTACCTAGACTTCTCTTGCCTCACTCCAAGATGCTAGGACCAAAGGGCCCTCTCAAGCAACAGTAGGGTTCAGCTATGCATCACACAAATCAAAGGGACACACACAACACAGTAATACTTGTGTCCCTCCAACTTTGTGATATTATCACCCAGGTAGATATTGTGCAGGATTGGGGGCGGGGTAGAACAGAGGAAGAAACAAGATGAAAAGGATCCTTGTCATTACTACTAACACTTATTAACTTTTTAACTGAAGCATAATTATAACCATATTTCCAGGCTTACCTTTTATCATCTCCTCAGCCTTCTAGGTACCTCTTTAGGGCCACTGAGAGACTTTCGCAAAGTTATGTAAGGTTTAGAGATAGAAGGGAGAAACTATACGGGTGGATCATCGCAATTTCCCTGAAGTTAAGAAAGTTTAGCAGCATAGGTGAAGACAAATTTGCCCCATAGAGTGCTGCAGCCTGGAGACAGGTAACCTTCGGCAGATTACAGTCACTCTCAGCTTCACTGTGCTTCACAGGGATGTGTCAGTACCCATCTTACAGGATGTCTGTGAAGACAGCACAGCAAAAGCATTGTGCAGGGCCCTGCCATATAGTACTTCATGAAATGTTAGCTGCTGCTGTTACTGATAATTGTGCGTGTTAAGCATCTTGCAAGAAAATGCCAACAACATGGGACTTGGAATCACAAAGCACTGCTTTGAGTTTCAGCTTTGCCAATAGCTGTATGGAATTGGGTTAGCAACTGTTTATATGAACTCAATTTTTTAAAATACAACCTAAAAAATGAAGAATACCCCCTTCTAGCTTTACCTCATAGATTTGTTTAGAACCTCAGATAATGAGTGCACCTGTGCTTTGTAAACTGTGAAGTCCTTTCAAATTGTGCTTACTTTATCCTGGACTGCACATCTAGCAGAGCCTGGGCCCACAGAGCCTTGGCTGCCTTCCCAAGAGTGTTTCCTATGCCTCCTTCCTGAAAATCTGACACTACCGAAGGCCCCATTCCTGGGGCCATTCCCGTGAAATGACTGATTAAAAGTGCCCAGTGATTCACTTGACTGACTGCATGCAGTATTGCATTTGGAAGGCATGGAAATCTAATTGTATTTTCTGCCTCAAGGGACTGAGAAGCTCCCAATAAAATTTTCCTGAGTGTGTCTCCCGGCACCAGCTGATGGAAGTGATGTGACTGGTGGGACTGAGACAGCCTAGGGCTCAGAGCAGGTAGCAGTCATCAAGCGGAGTGCGGCCAATCGGAAGCCCAGGGGCAAGTCCTCACTGTGGCTTGGGGACTGTTTTTCTAGTTTCCAGGGTTGTGTGTTACAACTCTCTAAATGGAGACCCATTCTGAAGGAATGGTCAATAGCCCACCTTGCTAATGAGATAGAGGAATTTAAATTCATTCTCTACAACAGAGTTGGGGGAGTCAAAATAGACATTTCAGCAGGTAATTGAATTCATTCCACAATGTGGTACTTCTTGCCACCTTAGTGAGCCAAGAGCCCATTCACTACCTGCTCCTGGAAGAAGGCAGGCATTTGACAGATGTAAATTGCTTTGTCAGGTGACTGATTTGCAGCATCAGCTGCTCCAGAGTGATAGCAGTCCTCCCTCCATATTAGTGTATATTTGGAAATGAATTTCCTAACCTTGACCTGAACCCCATGAATACTTTCAAATCACTGGTTGCGTTCAGGTTCAAACTTAATAGCACAGGAGAGAATAATTTCTCAGCCCAAAACTTTCTAAGATGTCTGGTTTTAAAGGATAGAAGTTGGCTTTCAAAGGTAGTGTCTTATTGTGGGCTGGGATGATGAGTCAGCTCATTTTATGACTAATCCACTTATAACACTGCAAGTGACTGTGCTGTTCTGAGTCTCAGCACATTCCTCTTTATTAAATCATGTCACTTAGAGGCCAAGAGCTCTACTGAGGTGTTCAGGGGTGACCATAATGTGGGAGGAGAAGAGGAGGAAAGGCCAAATAGGGTGGGAAGCCTCTGACATGGACTAACCCCCAACCCCAATTGTAATCAGAGCTGCTCAGCTTTCATTTGTTCATTGTGTTGTGGCATCTCACAAAGTTTTCTGTAAAAAGAATTCCAGTCCAGGGACTGTGATGTGACGAGAATTTTTAAACTAATTTTTAATTGACAAGCAACTGTATACTTATACAGTATAATGACATATTTTGATCTGTGTATACATTATAGAAATATTCAAGCTAATTAACATTTATCACCCCAACAAGTTATTGTTTTGTGATTGAGAACATTAAAAGCCTATATTTTTTTCATGGTAAACTTTTTTTTTATTTCCATAAGTTTTGGGAACAGGTGGTATTTAATTATATGAATAAGTTCTTTAGTGGTGAATTCTAAGATTTTGGTACACCCATGACCCGGGCAGTGTGCACTGTACCCAATGTGTAGTCTTCCATCCCTCACCCCACTTCCCATGTTTCCCCAGAGTTCCCAAAGTCCATTGTATCATCCTTATGCCTTTGTGTCCTCATACCTTAGCTCCCACTTATCAGTGAGAACATACCATGTTTGGTTTTCCATTTCTGAGTTACTTCATTTACAATAATGGTCTCTAATTCCATCTAGGTTACTGCAAATGCCATTATTTTGTTCCTTTTTATGGCTGAGTAGTATTCCATGATATATACAAACCACATTTTAAAAGCCAATTTTTTAACAGTTTCAAAATGTACAATGCATTATTATTAACTGTGGTCACCATGGAGTCCGATAGATCACTAAAACTCTAGTCCAACTGCAACATGGTACCTTTGGATCAACATCTCCCTTTTTCCCATCTCTCTCCTTTCCCCTCAGCCTCTGGTAGCTTTTCTACTCTGTTTCTATGAGATTGACATTTTTAGGTTCCACATGTAAGTGAGATGATATAGTATTTGTCTTTCTGTGCCTGGCTTATTTCACTTGGCATAATGTCCTCCAGTTTCATTCATATTGTCATGAATGACAGAATCTTCTTTTTAAAGGATGTATAATATCCCATTATGTATATACATATATACACACACATACATAATGGTATGTGTATATATACCACATATATACGCACAGCATATATATATAAACATTTTCTTTACTAATTCTTTTATTTTCTTCAACTTTTATTTTAAGTTATAGGGTACATGTGCAGGATGTGCAGGTTTGTTACATAGGTAAATGTGTGCCATGGTGGTTTGCTGCACAGATCAATCCATCACCTAGGTAATAAGCCCATCATCCATCAGTTATTCTTCTTGATGCTCTCCCTCCCCCAACCCCTAACAGGCCCCAGTGTGCATTGTTCCCCCCAATGTGTCCATATGTTATCATCCAGCTCCCGTTTCTGCATTTGTTTGCTGAGAATAACAGCTTCCAGCCCCATAAGGACATGATCTCTTTCCTTTTTATGGCTGCATAGTATTCCATGGTGTATATGTACCACATATTCTTTATCCAGTCTATCACTGATGGGCATGTGAGTTGATTCCATGTCTTTTCTATTGTGAATAGTTCTGCAATGAACATATCCATGCATACGTCTTTATAATAGAATGATTTATATTCCTTTGGGCATATACCCAGTAATAGGATTGCTGGGTCAGATGATATTTCTGCCCCTAGATCTTTGAGGAATCTGCATATTGTCTTTCACAATGGTTGACCTAACTGAACACTCCCAACAGTATAAAAGTGTTCCTTTTTCTCCACAGTCTTGCCAGCATCTGTTGTTTCTAGATTTTTTAATAATTGCCATTCTGACTGGCATGAGATGATATCTCATTGTAGTTGTGATTTACATTTCTCTAATGATCAATGATGTTGAGCTTTTTTTCATGTTTCTTGGCCACATGAATGTCTTCTTTTGAGAAATATGTGTTCATGTCCTTTGCCCACATTTTAATGAGGTTGTCTGTTTTCTCTTGTACATTTTCTTTTAAGTTCCTTGCAGTCTCTGCATATTAGACCCTTGTTAGATGGACAGATTGCAAATTTTTTTCCATTCTTTAGGTTGCCTGTTAACTCTGATGATAGTTTTTTTTGTTTGTTTGTTTTGCTATGCAGAAGTTCTTTAATTTGATCTTATTTGTTAATTTTTGCTTTGTTGCAATTGTTTTGGCATTTTCATTATGAAATCTTTACCTGTGCCTGTGTCCTGAATGGTATTGCCTAGATTGTCTTCTAGGATTTTTATAGTTTGGGGTTTTACATTTAAGTCTTTAAACCATCTTGAATTCCTTTTTGCACAGCATGCAAGGAAGAAGTCTAGTTTCAATTTTCTGCATATGGCTAGCCAGTTCTCTCAGCACCATTTATTAAATAGAGAATCCTTTCCCCATTGCTTGTTTTTGTCAGGTTGTTGAAGATCAGATGGTTGTAGATGTGAAGTCTTATTTCTCAGTTCTCTATTTTGTTCCATTGGCCTCTGTGTCTGTTCTTGTACTAGTAGCATGTTGGTTTTTTGTTTTTAATTATTTCTGGGCTTTTTTATTATTATTATTAATTATACTTTAAGTTCTGGGGTACATGTGCAGATCTTGCAGGTTTGTTACATAGGTATACACGTGCTATGGTGGTGGTTTGCTGCATCCATTGCCCCATCATCTACATTAGGTATTTCTCCAAATGCTATCCCTCCCCCATCCTCCCATCCCCTGCTATTCCTCCCCTAGCTCCTCATCTCCCAGACCCCAGTGTGTGATGTTCCCATGTGTTCTCATTGTTCAATACCCACTTATGAGTAAGAACATGTGGTGTTGGCTTTTCTATTCTTGTGTCAGTTTGCTGAGAATGATGGTTTCCAGTTTCATCCATATCCCTGCAAAGGACATGAACTCATCCTTTTTTTATGGCTGCATAGTATTCCATGGTGTATATGTGCCATATTTTCTTTATCCAGTCTATCATCGATGGGCATTTGCATTGGTTCCAAGTCTTTGCTATTGTGAAAAGTGCCATAATAAACATACATGTGCATGTGTCTTTATAATAAAATGATTTATAAACCTTTGGATATGTACTCAGTAATGGGATTGCTGGGTCAAATAGTATTTCTGTTTCTAGATCCTTGAGGAACCACACTGTCTTCCACAATGCTTGAATTAATTTACACTCCCACCAACAGTGTAAAAGTGTTCCTTTTTCTACACATTCTCTCCAGCATCTGTCTCCTGATTTTTTATTGATCACCATTCTAACTGGCATGAGGTGGTATCTCAATGTGGTTTTGATTTGCATTTCTCTAATGGGCAGTGATAATGAGCCTTTTTTCATATATTTGTGGGATATATAGGTAATAAGAGAGGAAACAAACAGATGGAAAAATATTCCATGTTCATGGTTAGGAAGAATCAATATTGTGAAAATGGCTATACTGCCCAAAGTAATTTACATATTCAGTGCTATCACCATCAAGCTAACAATGACTTTCTGCACAGAATTTGAAAAAACCACCTTAAACTTCATATGGAACCAAAAAAGAGCCTGCATAGCCAAGGCAATCCTAAGCCAAACAAACAAAGCTGGAGGCATCACGCTACCTGACTTCAAACTATATTACAAGGCTACTGTAATCAAAACAGCATGATACTAGTACCAAAACAGAGATATAGACCAATGGAACAGAACAGAGGCCTCAGAAAGAACGCCACACATCTACAACAATCTGATCTTTGCCAAACCTGACAAAAACAAGCAATCAGGAAAGGATTCCCTATTTAATAAATGGTATTGGGAAAACTGGCTAGCCATGTGCAGAAAATTGAAACTTGAGCCCTTCCTTACACCTTATACGAAAATTAACTCTAGATGGATTAAAGATTTAAACATGAGGCCTAACGCCATAAAAACCCCAGAAGAAAACCTAGGCAATACCATTCAGGACATAGCCATGGGCAAGGACTTCATGACTAAAACACAAAATGCAATGGCAACAAAAGCCAAAAGAGACAAATAGGATCTAATTAAACTTAAGCGCTTCTTCACAGCAAAAGAAGCTATCAATAGAGTGAACTGGCAACCAAAAGAATGAGAAAAAACTTTTTCGATCTACCTATCTGACAAAGGGCCAATATCCAGAATCTACAGAGAACTTAAACAAATTTACAAGAAATAACCCCATCAAAAAGTGGGCAAAGGATATGAACAGACACTTTTCAAAAGAAGACATTTATCAATTCTTCTATTGATGGACCCTTAGATTGCTTTCACATCTTGCCTATTATAAACAATGCTGAAATAAACATGGGAGTACAGATATCCCTTCAACATACTGATTTTAATTTTTTAATGTGGACACTAATGATCTTTGACAGTTCTCTCCAGTGGCATCTATAGTACTTTGAGACTTTTGTCTGGTTTGCTCAATCATACGTGCATAATGGCAGAGTGAAAAGAATACTGCACGGGGATTCAGGGCACCAGGCCACTGGTGTCCTATTCCTGCCTCTAGTTACCCTATAACCTTTAGGAAACCCCATCCCCTTTCTCAACCTGACTCTCTTCATTGGTCTCTAGGTATTCTTCTTCTATGGCTATTCCCAGGTATGCGACTATGGTATAGACAAGACTGACTTTGGGTTATGTGTAGTTCCTGGTACATACTATGAAACTATTAATCTCTGAAAAGTTATAAACCCCTTATGTTCACTGCCAAATATCAGTGATTTTTTTACACTTTTGAATCTATCAGTAGCGGAGACTACTTTTTAAATGGAATCTTGCATGGAAGACCATATCTCTAGCACAAGAAAGTGAAGACACTATATTAGGGAGGAAGGTTACAGGAATTGCTGCTCTCTCTTCTTTTATGATTCCTACAGTGATTCATGAGGCATCTTTGAGGAAAATCAGGAACTACCTGGAATGTGTTTTGTAAATTATTGGACTAGATGTTTTTCATGGTCACTTCTAGTTATAATGATTTATGAATCTATGAGGCAGTACACTAGAATCAGGAAAGCATGATGTCATTAGAAGGTCTACATACATCAATTAAGATCTCATTTACGGGTTATGGCAGCCAGGGACACATGCCATTTGGAACACTATTAAGGAACTTGCTATTCAACTCCAAGAAATACAGTGAGCTGATACCATCCAAACATTAGGACCTGCACCATCTTTCCAGCTGATGCCACATTCCTCATCTGCGTCTCCAGCCAATGACTGAGTATAATGGGGTTATCAGAATTTGGCCATTTTTGCCCAATATGGGTTACCTCTTTGCTCTGTGTCTTCCCATTGGGTGGTCCAAGACTTGTTAGATTTGCCCAATTCTATTTCCTCCACTTTTTATCCCTCACAAGTATTAACATTATAACCTCAGGTAACCTTTTACATCACTCTTTATAAAGCTTTCAGATGAGCAGAACAATACTGAATAGCACAGTATTGATTAATTAGAATAGGAATGAGGCTTCCTTTCTGCTAAAAACAAATGAGAGAATGAGGATGAGAATGAGCGAATGAAAGGCAGAGGAAGAGGTCAGGCATTAATCATAGTATCTAGCATGTGATAAATATCTGATAATTATTTCTCTTTTTGTCTGTACCTTATTAGCTGTAACATGCTAATTCAAAACTAAGGCTGGCCAGCCAAGCTCCTGGATTCTCCAGGTTGTTGGCTAAAGTTAGCTTCTTCCTGTTTTCAGTTAAGTCATAATTATCACAGGTCTCTACCCCAAGGCCTCTGGACATAAATTTTGACTTTGGTGCTAAGGACCTCTCTTTCCCCAGACTCTATTCTCAGTACCTATATCCCTTAGTCCTCTATTGTGGAATCAATTGTTAGTATACTGATTCCTTTATGCCCTCCTTTCCTTTAACTTATATACCTATTCATCAACAAATATCCTTATTAAGTGTGATGTAGAAAATGTCATATTAGCCACCATGTGGGTAGAAGCCTCATTTAAACATTAATTTTGGCCTCAGGGAACTTATAGATGATAATAGATACTCATAAATTACGTTCATCACTTTATTAGAGCTATAAATACCTGTTAAGAGTATTTATAAGAGAAGTTAAGATGATGCTCAGTTAATACTCAGAGGATAATATTTAAATATATATATGTGTATATATGTGTGTGTGTGTGTGTGTGTGTATATATATATTTCAAAGGTACAATATCAGAGATGACTTCTGGGAGAGAGTTGCATTTTCAATGTGGCTAAGGTATTAAGTCATTAGTGGAAAGCTGACAAATAAGCAAAAATAATATGAATTGCTGTATGAATCAATCATCCCTTACTCCCTCTTCCAAGGTGGCAATTAAGGGGCAAGCAAAGTACAGATCATAGACCTGAGAAATGGCTCATTAGAACCTTAATGTATGAAGCCAGAGCAGACGCAAATGCCAGGAAAACCATCACCATGATGCACAGGTTTTTAGTTGCACAGGGTTATCCTCACACACCATCAGCACAGCCTTCAGACCACTGAGTTATTTCTGAAAATCTGTCATATGTTATTTCTTTCCAGATGGTAGTCTGAGACGGACAGAATGAGAGGGAGCAGGAGAAAGAAGTGAATAAATAAGAATGCCTCTGGAGAATGAGGCATCTTGGAATCTGGAAAGTGAGGCATCCTGGAAGAGAGACGAAAGTAAAATTTTAAAGGTAAAGAAAGAATTTTTAAAACTATACCCTCACCATAAGTGAGGTTAAGTTGAATGGCACATAGACACATTGGCTTAGATTGCCGCATGTAACCCAAGCATAGATAAAAATAACAAGAGGACAAATCCACTGTATATTCTTAGAGCCCCACGTATGAAGAGTTGGGATTGGGACAAAATATGAGGAATGGAGGAAGGAGTGTCTTCTAGTTCTTTTTATCAGTCCCGATAAAGAAATAAGAGAGAAAGAAGACTTAAGTGGGCCCCATCTTACACCTTTTAGCGATAAGCACCATAAATTAAAACAATCTTCCAGAGGCCACATTAAAAGATTACAGAATAAGTTGGTGACAGGGTGTGAAGCCACTTCTAGAAGATGAGGTGGTGGAAGGAGAGATAAAGAGTGGGTTAAAACAGATGCTTAAATTTAGACTGACAAGTATGCATAAGTGTCATTTTGTCTAAAAGCAGAATGGACTAAATGACATCAGAGTTGTTTTTTTTTTTTTTTTTTTGTGTAATAGCTATTTTACAGGTATGTTTGACAGCTTGAAAGTTGAACATTAAGATATTTCAAATCCAGGTCTTCATTTGCATATGGACAAACAAAAGTTAAAACAAACAAACTCTCCAAATGTATACCTTGTGTTCTTGGCTTCCCTTACTATTATTTCTCTCTTACAGTGGGAATACACAAATCCTATGCTTTTAGTCAGCCAAATACTTGAGTTCTCTGAACTACTGTAAACCAAGCGTTATTGTTAATTTGATTTGGATCTGCTTTAGGGAAATGTACTTTTCTGTGGCTTAGCTTTCTGTGGGCTTTCTGCCAGCATTTGGGAGTGTGGCTCAAACATTATCACTGGTGTTACCAAAGTTCAGCTTTGGAAAGCTATTTTGGAAACTGAAATATGAACCTAACTTCACAATTATATAGAACCAGGAGGCTGTCTATATTTTATGATTTGAGAGAAATTTGGATTAGGAGTCTTACTCTTTGGCCTGGAAAACTCACAACAGGACAATCCTAGATGTACAGATTAAAGAATAATGAAAGCAAATTTGAGGCCACCACTGAGAGAATATTTTATGTACTCCACAATTTCATTTTAAAGCTGGGGCAATAGATAGTTGGCCTGTAACATGCGTGGAGGCTCAGTGTTGTTTCTCTCCAACTAGCCACAAGTAACAATTCTGACCTCATTCCCCAATATCACCTTGCAGCCCAAAATAGAAGCATTAACTTCTTACTTGTGCTTAATGCTTTCCTGCCTCTGTTCCTTTCTTCCATGCCATAACAATGTCTCCTTGTTTGCAGTGTTCATGATCTAGCTCTGCTGTGAATGTGCCCTAACAATGAAGTCTTTTATATTTTTCCCAACCAGAATTAACGTCTCATTTTTGAGATATTGTTAGCTTATCCCAAAATTTATGTTTTTAAAGTGTACCCTTTTAAAGTCAGTGGCTTTTAGAATATTCTCAAAGTTGTGCTTTCAACACCAATAATTTTAGAATATATTCGTCACTCCAAAAATAAAACCTCATAATCATTAGTAGTCAGTCTCCATTGTACCTACTCCCCAGCCCTTAGCAGCCACTAATCTACCTTTTTGCCCCTATTGATTTGCATATTCAGTACATTTAATACAAATAAAATGAGTAGCTTTCTGTGTCTGATCTTATTTACTTAGGATGTTTTCAAGATTTATCCATGTAGAGCATGAACCGGTGCTCTATCCCTTTATATGGCTGACTTTTCCTTGCATCAATATATCAGGTCTCATTTATTTCTTAATTGATAGTCATTGAGTCATTTCCACTTTGAGTATTATTAATAATACTGAGATGAACATGTATAGATGAGTTTTTGTATGGGCATTTATTTCCATTTCTCTTGAGTAAACTTCCAGATAGGAGTAAAATACTGTGGATCATATAGTAGCTCAACATTTAGCTCATTGAGGAACTGCCAAACTGTTCACCAAACTGGCTGTATCATTTTTTGTTCTTACCCAAAGTGTATGAGCTTTCTAGTGTCTCCACATTCTCTCTAACACCTATTATTGCCTTTTAAAACTTTATCTTAGTGGGTATGAGGTGATAAAATCATTTGGTTTTTATTTGTATTTCCCTAATGATAAATCATGACTATCTTTTCATGGCTTATTGGCCATTTATATATATTCTTCAGAGAAATGTCTGTCTTCTTTAATTGAGTTATTTACAGCTGTGAATTTCCCTCTAAGTACTACTTTAGTTGCATCCCATAATTTTGGCATGCTATTTTGTTTACATTCATCTTGAAGTGTTTGAATGCCCCTTGTGATTTTTTTTCTTTGACTTATTGGTTGTTTAGGAGTATGTGGTTTAACTTCCACATGCTATTGAATTTTCCAAGTTTCCTTGTTACTGATTTTATTGTACTTGGATAACATACTTTTTGTGTTTTCAATCATTGTAAACTTATTGAAACTTATTTTGTGGCCTAATATAGACTCTATCTTGAAAAGTATTCAGGAGCACCTGAGAAGAGCATTTATTTTACTGTGGCTGGGTGGAGTATTCTATAGATACTTTGTATTTACTTTGTTTATATTGTTGTTCAAGTCTTCTGTGTTCTTGTTGATCATCTGTCTGGTTCTATCTATTGCTTAAATTGAGATACTGAAGTCTGAAATTATTATTGTCAAATTTTCTATTACTCCCTTCAATTCAAAATTTTCTACCTCATGTATTTTGGGGCTTGTTAGGTGCTTATATAATTATTGTATATTTTTGAATGAACTGTCTCATCATTATAAAATATTGCTCATTTCTAGTAACATGTATATCTTAAAGTCTATTCTGTCTGATATTAGTCTAGTCCCACTCCAGCTCTCTTTTGGTTACTGTTTATATGGTATTTCTTTTTTACCTTGACTTTTAGCCTATTTTTGTGTTTGATGTAAAGTATATGTCTTGTAGACAACATGTAGTAGCATCATGGTTTCTTTTATCCATTTTGCTAATTTCTGCTTCTTAATTTGCGAATTTAGTACAAATGGGATTACTGATAAGGTAGGATTTACATCTGCTATTTTGCATTTATTTCCCTAATTTTGTGTTTCCTATCTCTTTCATTATTGCCTTGTGTTAAATATATATTTTCAAGTGTACCATTTTAAACACCTTATTTTCTTTACTATACTTCTAATTTTTTTTTTAGTGTTTACCCCCGAGATTATAGCAATGACCTTAATTTGAAATAATCTAGTTTATTTCAATCAATTTCAACCAGTATACAAAAAATTATTCCTATATAGATCATTTCATCACCTTTCTTTGTGCTATTGTCACATAACTTCTTTACACATCAAATACACATCAACGCACAATTATAATTGATGTATGCAGTTTTCTAATCAAATAGAAAAGAAACCCTTACAAATAAGAATATGTTTAACCTGTATTTTATATTTACCTATGCGGTTATTTTTACCAGCTGTCTTCATTTATTTATGTGAATTAAAGTTACTTTCTAGTGTTTCTTCATATTAGCTGAAAGATTCATTCAGCATTTCTTATAGGAATAGCCAAGTTAGTTAATGCTTAGCTTTTGTTCATCTGGTATTGTCTAAATTTCTTTGTTTTTATTTTCGAAGAATACTTTGGTTAGATACAGATTCTTGGTTGACAGTCTTTCTCTTTTAGCATTTTGAATATGCTATTCCTCTGTCTTCTGTTCTCCATGATATCTGATGACAAATCAGTTTTATTCTCATTAAGCACCCTTTAAATGATGTTTCCTCTCCTCTGATGTTTTTAAGATTTTTTTCTGCCTTAGGTTTTCAATAGCTCAATCAATTATTATGGATCTAAGCATGGATCTCTGAATTCATCTTATTTGGAGTTCTTGGACACATTTTCAGCCACTGTTTCTTCAAATATTCTCTCTCTATCCTTTCCATTGTCTGTATATTAGTGTGCTTGATGGACTGCATTTCTTCAACACTCTGACAGGCAGTTAACAACCATGATTTAGCCTTTACCTCTTCCTTCTACAGAACCTCAAAGTTAGCGAGAAGTAAGAGCTAAGCATTTTCTCAGGTGTTTTCAGGGCATTTCCATAGCCACAGACATGTGCACAGCCCTATGTGCATGTCTATGACCTTCTAGAGTCCCCAAAATATATCAGAGCTTTTCAAAGCCCCCTTTGGATGTCTTATTCCCAAGATTTTCTTAGGCTTTTTGGTTAGCCTATTCTTTTTCTCAATTGTTTTCCACTTCTTCAGGATTTGAGCTTCATGTTAGGTTAAATAAAGAAAGCTTTGCTAGTGGTTCTTCTAGAAAACCATCGAACAGGTCAAAAAATGACTATTCTCTGATAATGGAACTTTGAAGGGCCTTTAGCCCCATTCTACTCCCTTCGGTGGTTCTTAGGCTACTGGATTTTACCATGATTGCAGGCTATTGGATTTCAAGATTACCATGATGCTGGGGAGGGGAGGGTATGCAAATAGGAAAAATTAAAATATCATGAAGCTCACTGCTCATGCCTAGATTCAACTAGTTATCTTAAATGTTTTCAGGGTTTCCATAAGCCTTTAATTAATTTCTAGAATTTTGAAAAAGTTAATTCTGACAATTTATGCTGGTGCTCTTATTGCTTTTATGGAGAAGAAAATTTTCAGACTGACATTTTTGCTAATGTCCTTAGTCTTTCATCTTCATGTACTTCTTCTATGGCACCTGTGAAACCAGGTAGGCACAAAATAGTAAATATATATAACTAAAAGCAAGGAATTTAGATGACTGTGGGCTCAACAGAATTTTATAGTTAGGATAGTAAATGGAATGAACTAGAGAGATGGGAGATGGTGGTTTGTGAATGAAACGTTTAAAAATGAAGTTATGGAGGCATTGTGGTTATTGTTAATGATAAGGTATAGGGAATCAGTAAGGGAAAAAGACTGGAGATGGAAAGGTTTAGAAACAAAGGCCAGGGTGT